CCTTTGCGGTGAGGGGCGCGGCGTCTTCTGCGCGCGGCGAAGGGCTCCTTCTTCCGGGCTGTCCGTTCATTTCTGGCGGTTTTTCTCAGCTTTATTGAACGGTTTCGATTGCAGCCTTGCCTTGGGATGGACTTAGCCAGACTGAAAAGTGATGATATGAGATACGAAATTGGCCTTGTGTTCAAAATAGACGGAGATGTCCGTTTCCAAACAGTTACTGAGACCGGCGTGGGCTGAAATATACCCAGATACTAAAACCTCTGGAACTGACAAGACAACTGACGTTTTGTTGGTACTTTTTACAGGGGACACCGCAAAAGGATGTCGTAATAAAGCCCGATGCTCCAAGCACGTTGCTTTGGGAGAAACATGCGGACTATATAGCTTCATATGGAACAAAGAAAGATGATTATGTAGGTATCGATTTGTTTCAGTACAGCTGTGGTTTTATTAAAAGCAATAGTGACTTTCACTTACTTGCTCAGAGCTAAGAGTTAGGTGCATGCTCACAGGCTAGTTTTTTCTTGCCCTGCATTCAAAGCATAAAGGAAGGGTATCTTTGTTAATTTTCCTGGGTCTGTGATGAGTTTTGGCATGTATTATCTGAGTCTAAATGTGAAGATTACCAGTTTAGCTCTAGAATTACTCTGAGACCTGAGAAATTAACTCATTATTGCCTCTTCATCTGCAGAAGGGGTGTAGCTGCATTTACACGTTGCTTTTTTGATGGGACAACATACTGAATCTCACCCTAGCACAGCTTTGTGCTTACTAGGTTTGATAAACACTGTAACTAACATCAGTTTTATAGTCATAGGTCATCAGATGTAGCCCACAACAATAGGATTGCAGTTCCAGCAGGGGAAAAATGTCAATAACTGCTTATGTCTGGAGAAAAGTTGCAGGCACCTTTACTGTCCACAAAAGAAATCTAAGGACTATTGTTTATGGTTGTTGTGTGCTTAAAAAGTACTGCATGTAGAAAATAATGTTTATGGGTAGCATAGGAGATGTAATCAGTGTAAGAGAATTCGATATGAAATTTCACTTCCAGTGCAACTTTAGATTGTGCAGTTTTGGCTCTTGGAAGTAAGTTTCATGAAATGTTAGACTTGTTATTTTTGAGACTAGTGTGGGTGGTAATTTGAGCGGTGGTTTGGGTGGCAAGATACTGATGATCCAAGGTGAGTTGACGCTTAACTACTTGTGTGTGTTTGATTTGACATTGATACTTTGAACTAGAAAATGAAGGGGAGGAAAGGAACGTAGTATGTGTGGATATGTACATGTGCACGTGCCTGTATGTCTGCATGTGTATACACACACGATGCACAGAACGTTCGTGAGTGGCTGATACACAGTAAGTTGTTAATGGGGTGGAAGATGGTTGATGTACTACAAAGTGTTTGTAAATGTAACAGATGTGTTTCCGTTCCTCTGTATCGATGATGTGCCTGTCTGATTAAGAACTAAAATAATGCCCTGCTTAGGAGTACTGCATGTCGGAGTATTTGAGGATGAGTGGTGTTTACTGGGGGCTGACAGCCATGGATCTTATGGGGCAGCTGCACCGAATGAACAAAGAGGAAATTCTGGCATTCATCAAATCATGTCAGCATGAATGTGGTGGAATAAGTGCCAGCATAGGTCATGATCCTCATCTTCTGTATACCCTCAGTGCTGTCCAGGTAAATGTAACATTTGTAATTCATTTGTAAATTCATTATTTTGATGATTGTGGATTTATGAACCAGGTACTGTTGGATGCCAATGGCAAAAACTATTTCAGTACCTTATTAAAAAAAATAAAATCTAACGGACAAAACTTTAGGATTTAGATGTGTCGTTTCCTAAAAAACTGTCAGATTTGGGAATGTTGTGCTTTTAATGATCGTTTAATGATGACTGCATTCTTGGTAAGTTTTGTAACAGTCTTCTTGAGGTACTTCCTAGCTACAGGTTTTGCTGGAGCTTTTTGTAGATAATTTTGGATTTTATAAATTCCTTTTAGTGTACATTGAGGTGAAAGATATGTATGACCAGAGTAAGAGTAAAGTTTTGAATTGTATTTGTTAATGTTTATGTTACTATATATTATGATTGCTATATAGCATAACACGTTAATAAATAGTTATGTAATCTTTATATAACCTGTGTATTTATGTACTATGTATAATTATATGTAGTGTGTTTACACTTTAGTACTGTACAAAAGAAATGTAGTTCTCAGTTCTTGTTGTGTTCCTCAAATCTGCCCTTTTTTTGTGTATAACTGAAAAATGATAGCAGTCTGTTGAGAAATTTGCTGAATAGAGGGGCAGGATAACCTCACTCGACCTGCTGGCCGCACTCTTCTTAATGTACCCTAGGATACCATTGGCCTTCTTGGCCACAAGGGCACATTGCTGGCTCATGGTCAACTTGTTGGCTACCACAACTCCCAGGTCCTTGTCCACAGAGCTGCTCTCCAGCCGGTCGACTCCCAGCCTCTACTCTGTCCTGATGGGGCTATGTCTGGAGTACCGTATCCAGTTCTGGGTTCCCCAGTTCAAGAGAGACAGGGAACTGCTGGAGAGAGTCCAGCGGAGGGGTACGAAGATGATGAGGGGGCTGGAGCATCTCTCTTATGAGGAAAGGCTGAGAGACCTGGGGCTCTTTAGCCTGGAGGAGACTGAGAGGGGATCTTATCAATGCTTGTAAACATCTAAAGGGCGGGTGTCAAGAGGATGGGGCCAGGCTCTTTTCAGTGGTGCCCGGTGACAGGACAAGGCACAAACTGGAGCACACAAAGTTCCACCTGAACATGAGGACAAACTTCTTTACTTTGAGGGTGGCAGAGCACTGAACAAGCTGCCCAGGGGGGTTGTGGAGTCTCCTTCCCTGGAGATACTCAAAACGCGCCTAGACGCGTTCCTATGTGACTTGCTCTGGGTGGACCTGCTTTAGCAGGGGAGTTGGACTAGGTGATCTCCAGAGGTCCCTTCGAACCCCTACCATTCTGTGTTTAAAGGGTCGTGTCACACCTTTTGGTCATGATGAGTAGTAACTTGTTCAGATTTGCTTTTTAAGGAGCATGCTATGATTATATATTTTTTGTTGTAGTTCTATGTCCTTCTTTGCATTTCCGTAAGACTTAAATTTTTTATCTGACAATTGAAAGATTGCAGCTAACTCTAGGTGTTCAAAGTCATGGTTGTATTTTTTTAGGATTAGCACTGTAATTTTGCTCAGTTTCAACTGTTCTTCCTATTTTGCTATTTATAATAAAGTCTTAGTTGCTCTCTTTAAAGGTTGTGCATTATGAGTGAAAACACAAAGCCAGCTGGGGTTCAAACGGTGTTGTTTTCACATGACATTGTGTCATATGGGTTTGCTGGTTCAAATCAGTGCTAGATCGGAAACCTTTGTGTTCCCTACTATGACCTTTATTTTTCTTCCAGAATATATTGACTGTACAGTTTATGTCTAATCATGTTGTTCATACTTCTTCCTAAATTATTGCAGTTTGGTTCTTCTCATTATATTTAAAAATTGAATGTAAATAAAAATCTTATGTTTAGAAACTAATTATTGCTGACAGGCTTGGACTGTAAGTGGTATTAATAACTAGCAGCTTAACTTTCACATATCCAAATAGCAGCAGTGCACAAACTACCAATTTGTAAGTCTAGGATGTCACCCCATTACAAAATTAACAGTAATCACGTGTCTATTCTACATAATGCTAACATAAAACCAAATAAATGCGATTATGCTTTTGAAAGAAGAACTGGAAGTTGGAAAGTAACAAAGCATGAAAAAGTTCAGCTGGAATTGCCTATATTTTCCTTTGAGAATTTCTTAAAAGTTTTTAGACAGAGATAGATGAACTGCAGTGAATGAAATTCTGTGATTCTGCAAAATTTTATTTTAATAAAGCTTACCAGATAGTATTCACAGTCAATAAAATAAAGTCTTTTATAAATCAAAGATTTAAAAAAAAATAAAATTTTAAAAATTTTTGCCTCTCTTTCATTGTTACTGTGTCTTTTTTTTTTATTTCTAGATTCTTATCTTATATGATAGCCTCCATGTTGTTGATGTAAATAAAATTGTTGAATATATACAGAACTTGCAAAAAGAAGATGGATCATTTGCTGGAGACAAATGGGGTAATTTTTAGGTCTTTAAAATTTAGTGACTATGTTGATGCGTGTGAGTCTGTGAACTTAAGTTTGCTTGGATGCTGTTTTTGTGTATGTATTGTATGTGAACACTTCATTTTCTGAGTTATGAAAAAGGAGGTTTTGTGAAGGACAGTTATGTTTTGTTCCTTTCATGAATATTCTGAACTTCAGTTCCATTTTTGTATTAAAAATAAATTGTCTAGTTCTTGAAGAAAACTTTTGGATGTTTATAACTTGACAGTACTTTGATATAGTAGATACACTATTCCATATGGAATGTTTTGTGCTTGTTATGATTTTTATCCATGTCGGCTGTGAAAGAATCTTTCAGTTTATGGGAATGAGAAAAACTGGTTTTGTACTTAGGAACTTGTGTTAATACTGATTTTGTTTCTGCACATACCATCTTTGTTCATAAAGAATTTATTTTTAAGCTGTAGCATAAATATTTAGTCACTCTAAACATAGTTATCCCCATGGAATGCTTAAGTTTTAATAAAATTACTGTGTATCACTCATTATTCTGGTAAAATTCAGCATTCAAGATCATGGCAGTATATGTAAGCTACTGTAAAGGTAGCTGTTATGCTGTGTGTTAGAATGGTTTGTAGTTTGCCTCCTTTTTCTTAAAGTATTAAATGTGTGAAATGCACAATGTATTTACGTTACTTCTGAAAGGCACAGTGCAGCTGACGGAATGTGACACCTGATGTAGTACAGAACAGCGCATGTTTGTTTTATATGTTTCAGCTTGTGGATTTCTTTAACAGAAAACTCTTGATCAGTTTGACCAAAAAATGAATGTTTGCGACTGGGTTCAATTTTAAATTTTGACTTCAAGTATTAATTGCTTGCAGTTCATGCTAGGAGAGTTATATTGATATGGATTTGTCGAGCAATCATTCAGCTGTAGGTGTAGTGTTGTTGGTTTAGCTTCCAGGTGTAAGTATGCAAAAGAAAACTTGCAACTCTCACCAGTCTTCCTCTAAAAAAAAAAAGCTTCTACTTCTGCCCAAATATATGGCAGATCAAGAGTTATGTCTTGAGTATTTTTGAGTCCACTGCTCTGCAATTGTCTAGTAGAGCACTACAGATAAACTTTAAAATTATATAGTTGTTTGTAAATTAGCAGTAGTTTATCTGACTACACCAGCTCAAAATGAGTTGTTTGCATTTATGTGCCGTAAACATACAGATCACTTGAGCTGTAATGTGCACTTTCTAAATTACTGAGGAAATTAGTCATGATCTGGAAGAGGAAACAGTATGGGGGTAGTTTTGGGGTGATCTTTGTTGTTCAATGCAAAACCTAGTATTCTAACATTTTGTTCCATATTTGCAGTGGTGATTTAAATGTAGTTTTGTTGTTGTTAATAAAAATACTCTTATTTCATTCCTTACCCCTCACCTTCTAGGAGAAATAGATACCAGGTTTTCCTTCTGTGCTGCAGCAACTCTTGCACTTCTGGTAAGTCTAAATCATTAGTTGCACAAGTACAGAATCTTCTCTTTGGTACTGCTGAAGTTTCTGTAGTTAATGAGCCTGGTAGAATATAAAGTGCATTAGTTGCTTTTCTGACTTTCAGGGAAAGCTGGATGCTATTGATGTGGGGAAAGCAGTAGAATTTGTTTTGTCGTGTATGAACTTTGATGGAGGATTTGGTTGTAGACCAGGTTCTGAATCACATGCAGGACAGGTGAGTTTTTGAATCTATGGAAATGTTTTAAAGTTAGCAAGCATCACATACTGCCTATGAATGTTTCTTTACAACATCTATCAGTGATGTCAATTGATGTACCTTTCTGTTTCCCGAATGCCTGATTCTAGTACCTTAGTTAAAATAAATTTACAAATAGGTAGATAAATCTGAGAAGATGCATAGAGACTCAGGAGGTTGAAGTTGGGCCAAAAAAACCCAAAAGATCATAAGGGAACAACTTTTAGGACTGTATTTCAGTCTTCACATAGTGGTGTTGGAATAGTTAGCATGAGGATTTTTAAAGAATTTGAAATGGGTATTCATGGAGACTTTGGACGAGATGTATCACTGCGTCTGCCACAGATCATAATGAAACATCAAGGGCAATTGTGTAATATGTTTGATATTTATCAGCTGATGAACTCAGATAAAAATGAGACGTGAACCTTCTCAAGGGGAAGATTGCTTAATTTTTTTGAGAAAAGTCGGTTTTAAGATGAGATGCCTACTCAGGCATGGGAACATTTATCATATTTTGTTGTAGGCACTAAAGAGTGTTTTACTGGTAACACTGAATTCTGAAAAATGCTCAGTAAAATCTAGTTGAGAGGAGATTGCAGTAGTATAATTGAAGCAAATTCAGGGATCTCTCAAGGAAGAGAATGTCGATGAGTTCTAGCAGAAAATATATATAAAAACTACCTTTCCTCTTTTTATTTTTTTCACGGAAGGGATTATTGCACTTAACCTGAATTTATGAATAGAAATTAACTTTTAATAAAATATTTTAAGGCTGTTGCAATCACCTATTTATTTTGCTTAATTATGGTGAGCAATGCCATAGCAAGGATTTACCTCAGATTATGAAAATACTAGAGTTATTTTATTGAGAGAAAGTGTTGGGTTTTTTTCTTCACCCTCACCTTTCTTTTTTTAAATCAGGGAAAAAAAAATAAACCTGGTACATGTACCTTGCAAGTTTTATCTACGGTATCATTGCCCATATGGTCTAAATGGCTGGACCATGTTCTAGTGTTCAAGGAAGTCGGATTAAGTAGCTGAACACACTCTGTTTGCAGCTGTCATTTCCTGGCAGGATTAGATGTGTTGTGCATCTTCACATACTCCTTAAAATGCAGTAAAAGGCAACTCTTTTGCCTGCACAGTTGTTCAAAAGTTTTCTGGGAATACCATGTTTATTTTTGCAGTATTCTTGGATAGGCGCATCCCTGTTGATGCATACTTTTGTTGGGTTTTTTTGGTTTCTTGAGGGTGTGTTTTATTAGCGAAAGGCAGTTATGAGTAGGCTTCGGTTGATATTGTGGTTTCTTCAGTTTATGCTTGGTTGCTTTCTTAGTGACTGCATGAAATGTGACCTGAGTATGCTGTTGCACTGTAAATGTTATTTCCCAGGAAGAAATAAATCCAAGGGATTAATCAATGCACATATATTACATGGCACATTGAAAGTAAGCCTGACGTGACTAGATGTATGTGGGATTGCCAGGATAGTTAATGATCAGGATGAACCTGTTTCTGCTAGAGAATTCATGTCGTCTTTAGTTTGCTCTCCAGAAGCCTTAGGGTAGCAGGCACATACAAGAACAAACCATGGGCTGGATGAAAATTTTCATAAAGGCTATTATCCAGCTTGCAGAAATGAGTTTGAGTACCGTAGCTTGGGAGTCTGTGTTTTTAAAATAAAACTGTATTGTTCTGCCTGATCTTGTAGGATCTTTTTCCAAACCTTGAATTAGTGTTTTATAATAATAGTAAAATCTTAGTGTTCTGTAATTCCACTTTATAACTGGTACTTTTATACAAAAGCAACTGTAACAGTGACATACTTTTCTAATGGAAAGGTAAAACTCATTGAAACTAAAAGTTGAAATGTGTGCTTGTTTTGTGTTTTGTTTGCATGACTGTATTCCTGCTTTGAGATCTTCCTGCATTTGGTGTGCTAAACTATAGTTTTTAAATACACAAAAAATTTATGTCTGTAATTTTAGATCTATTGTTGCACAGGATTTCTGGCTATAACAGACCAGTTGCATCAAATAAATGTTGACTTGCTGGGTTGGTGGCTCTGCGAACGTCAGTTACCTTCTGGAGGTCTCAACGGACGCCCAGAGAAGGTATTAGGTGGTTTCTTTTGTTGTTCAAACCTCAATAAGAGAATATTTTTTTCTAAAGCTGAAGTACTTCTGGAGAATGTCATGACTGCTATGAAATATTTAGTAAGCTTTTAAAAGAAGTCAGGCCTTCATTTTGATTCTTCATTTTGTCCCTAACACTTGTCATGCAGTCCTTAGCCATGCTTAGTTTGAGTCCTCCGTTTAGGAAAGTACACCTCTGAAGTATGTCTTGCTGACCTCTTGAACCAGTATCCTGTTAACTCAGGGCTTGAATATTTTCTGGCATTGGGAATGGTCTGTTCTGTAGGATTTGTACAAAAATTACTCTCCTGCTGGTTGTAAATCCTGGGTGTAACAGTGTTCCACATCACGCTAGTGTATTGTGTAACCTAGAGTAATCTCCACTGACTGGCAAATAGATAACCAACTAACAGATTTTTTTTTTTTTTTCAAAAAAAGAGAAACTAGTTGATATGAAGTTCTTTGTGCTTACTTCTGCAAAAAAGTGCTGTGTTTTTTTAGCCTCTCCCACAGAAGATGAAGTCTATTTCAAAATCACATTCTTGTGGTTTTGTTTGTTGAAGAAGGGAAGAGGTTTGAAAAAGAGACTTTCCCTTCCTGAGAAAGGCAAGTCCTCTGAAAAGAGACTGCATCCAGGAATTTTCTTCTCTTTTATCCCAAAGAAACTCTTTTTAAGTGTTGTTTCTCTGCAACAGTATTATGTACAGCACACCTAGTAATTTGCAGAATCACCAATAATATTTGCAATTTCATGTTTAAAACAAAATCAAATAATAACCTGCTTCTCTCCTTGCCAGTTACCTGATGTATGTTATTCATGGTGGGTGCTAGCATCTTTGAAGATGATTGGTAGGTTGCATTGGATTGACAGAGAGAAACTGCGCTGCTTTATTTTGGCTTGCCAGGACGAGGAGACTGGAGGATTTGCTGACAGACCAGGAGATATGGTAAATAATCCTTTTAAAAATAAAATGTGCTTAATTGAAAATTACAGATGAAGACATAAGCTTTCTTGTTTGAGTGTAACTCAACTTGTGATCCAAGTGCAAGCGTTCTGCAGAGCCTGCAGTTTACTTTGAAGGAAAGAATAGGGTAGAGTTGCTTTCAGAGGCTCACTTGGGGAGCACATATTTGGTATTGCACTTGTGCTGTAGCGTGCCCCACTGAAGTCAGTTGCCATGCCTTACAAATTCTGGTTTGGTTCCCATAACGCATACCAATTTCTGACAAGACTACTTGGAAGATATCTGTAAAAATACTGTGTTTGGTGGTGGGTTTTTTTTTTTTTGATGTGTGGTTTTTTGGGGGGGTTTGTTCCTCTTTGTAGAATGGTATGCAAGCTGGAGTCCAGCATGGGTTAAGTAGTCTTCAGCTCTCTTGGTGGTTTTACCTGATCTAAATGAGTAACAAGTTTTTATTAAGAATCCGTATATGCTAACTCTTGTTCAGTGCCTACTCAGCCACTGAATAAATCCTCTCACTGGCGTTTTTCTAGATGAGAGAGGAAGAAGCTTTTGTCATAGCATTGTGAAGAGGCTGGTGGTACAAATTTTCTGCTTGGTTGAGAGAACAGTTGTGGTTTAGCTGGTCTGTTCTTTCTGGTTTCAAGCAGAAATAATTGAGATTGTCTAGGTAAAATCGCAAATAAAGTTTGTATATTTCAAGGGTGCTGGACACATAGAATTAAAAGTATTATGAGTCCTTAGTGCAATTACTGTAGAACACTTGGCTGGTTATTTGTCAATGGTCAGGGGGAAGTCTTAGCTGTTTTTGTTGCAGCTGACTATGTCTTCTACTTTCTCCACAAATGCGTTAAATACTGAAGTAGCTTTCTATGTCTTTGCAAGCTGATACATTATTCCCACTTTGGGGAGGGGGAGAAACCTCTTGACTCTCATCTGTGATTTGGAAGGTGTTTTGGTGTTATTAAAATCAGAAGGTTTTTGTATTTCTGAGGAGCTCGCAGAAAGACTTTTCCCTTTTCAGAATTCTGCAAGAAAAGCCTAACACTTAAAGTCTTAATGCTTTTCTGGCTTCAAGATTAAACTTGAGCTATTGAACTATTTTTGTCTGGCTAGGAGAGCAACTTTGCAGAGCCATTCCTCTATATCTAATGCAGGCACCTTTGGGAGAGTTGTTGCATATTATGTTAGCAGTCATTTCATATTATTTCTACTTGTCATCATTGTTGAAGTAGGCACTGCTGTAGAAATGTTGATGCCTACAGGTTTTGTTCCTGCAGAAACTCATTCCTGACAGACCTTGTTGCTTTTGGTTTATTTTTTTTTGTGGCAATTTTTGTTTGTTGGTTTGGACTTCTTTGTTTGTTTTGTGGTGGTTTTTTGGGGGGAGTTGTGGTTTTGGGAGGGTTTTTTGGGGGCGGGGGTGTTGGATTTTTTTTTTTCAATTCTAGGTTCTAGTCTTTTGATTTGACTTTGATTGTATGTCAGGTTTTGAACTGCTAGACAATAAGATAGCTCTGTCATCTTTTTTTAAGTTTTTATGCTAGTTCTTGATAATGTGGAAGCCGTGCTTCTTAGCTCTTAGCTGTGTTTGAGCAGTGTTTTTTTATTTGCTTTAAAGAAAATTGCAAAAAGGAGCAGACAACATAGCAGCAGATACATCTTCTAGGAATCTTGGTTTCCCTGAACATACATACTGTTCATCAAGAGGTTGAATCTGTAACTTCATTTGCACACTTCCCATTGGGGACAGTGTCCCCTTCTGGGCCTGTCCATCTGTACAAGGAAATCCTGTCTTGCCATTCCTAAAGTGTACTCTTTATTATTACTATTTTGTTGTGTACTTACTCCTCTAATGGCCACATAGTCATTCTGGGAAGGAGCAAGTAAACATATGTCTGAGCTTTGACCACACCTGTAACATGGTTACCAAACCACTGAGGGGCAAGACTTGCTATGCTAGTGTGGTTTGAACCTTCTAGGCTGTCATCAGTGGTTGGAGATCCTGTGTATGGCTGTAACATGGTAATTCAGCTCAGTTTACTGCAGTATAGAACCTTTGCCCTTTGCGATAAGATCCAAACGTTTCACTAATGCAAACATGATGTATGCTGCACCAGACAGCACGGGTACTTTTGGACAGGATTTTGTAGAATGGCTAATTTACTCTAGTGACAGGATGCTTATGTCATGAGACTTCATAGTCTGTTGCAGTTATGTGGTGATACATGCCTTTGGGGAAGGCTCATACAGTGAAGGAATACTTGGATACCAAATAACTGCTCCTGTCTCTTCTGGTTTTTTTTTTTCTTACTTATGTGTTTTCCTTTCAGTTTTCTAGCACAGTAGGTTGCTACTCCCCTCTCAAGACTCTACACAGCTCTATATTCAGAGACCATTAAAGACCATTATAAAGTTGCTGAAGAGCAAATGGGGAATTTATGGAAGTGGCACTTGTAGATGATCAAATTTACTTTTAAAATTTTTATCACCTTTGCTTCTGCTACCCTATGACATTGCACCCTACTGGAGACAGGTGAATTCAGAGTTGAAAATCATCTCAGCAGCAGACAATTGACAAACATCTCTGTGTAAATCATAGTTTTGTAAATGCTGCTGTGGAAATTGCTTTGCCTATCAACACATGTCAGCACAAATGAAAGTTTGTTCAGTTGCATTATCTTCTTCAGCCATGGAGATTTGCAGTTCTCTTGCTAGCAAACAAAAGCTTCGTTGCATACAAATGAAAATCTGATAGACTTTTGGAAACGGACACAAACTTTCTTTCTTCCCCCAGGTGGATCCATTTCACACCTTATTTGGAATTGCTGGACTATCTTTATTAGGAGAAGAACAAATTAAGGCCGTGAATCCTGTCTTCTGTATGCCAGAAGATGTCCTTCGAAGAATAAATGTACAGCCTGAGCTTGTGAGCTAAGCCTCGTAGAGACAAAACGTTGATACGCCCAGTTACTTTGGTTTTACTGATTTAAGTAATCTCATCTCTGAAACTGTTAGCATATTCTTCTTTGAGGTATGTTTACATTATGAAAGTAAAGCAATAGCTTTACTGTAGGCTCTGTCACTTTGTAAACTTACCAGAACAGGCTGGCTCTAATAATCTGAGTGTAACATGTTCTTTGGTTGTATATAAGAGATGTAGAAACATTTCTAGTCTCTATCTAAATACATGGGCCTTTGCATTTTTTTTTTGAGTATTCAAGTCAAAGCAATAGTGTGAATGCTTAATTTTTGTATTCCTGTGGTATCAACCATGCTAGCATCTGTCTTTACACAAGCTTTTTTTGATGGTGAATCACACAAAGCACTTTAAAAGAATATAAAAAAAAAACCCCAAAACCCTACTTAAGCCATGCACTTGATGCCACACACTTGTGTATTTAATTCTTCCTATTCATGTTTGCCATCACTTATATATACTGAGAAACAAGCTTTTTCTTCTGGTAGTAATTGATACCAGTGAAAAAAAAAATTATGGTTCCATTAAGTATATAAATGTCTTCATTTATTGATGAGTCCCTTAGACAAAATTTTGCTGATATTTGAAATAGAGCATACCCTGAGTATATCTAGTGAAACTCACTAACAAAGCATTCTAGAGAAGGTCTCTGTAGGTCAGTGACTTGTAAATGAATATGTAGTTGATCCTAAATTTGTTGCTGGGTTGAAATCCTGCTTTCGTAGCATTTAAAACAATAATTGCCAACATTGATAATGGTGTAACTGAGAATAAAACTAGCCATGGAAAATACTTGTTCTCTGAAGGATGAAGTCCTCTTTGTCTTCACAGGAGCCCTAAAATTGCCTCTTAATTTACGTTCCACGTACCCTGGCCAAGACTGAATGGTATTTCAAGACAGTTTTAAAAGCCAGCTGATTAGTTTTATCCAGCCTATTTGGGTTAGTAAGAGAGTAAGCTAGAACTGGACAAAGTAACTTTGGTAGACCTTTACTAGTAGAGAGTTTCAAAGAGAGAATTGGTGTTTGAATGCTCAAGTATTTCTAATTTTTTTTTTTGGCCTTCTCTACAGGCTTTTAGGGAAGGTGAAACCCCTGCTTTTTAGCTGTCCAGTTGCCTGATGAATTCTTTGGTCAAAGCCTGGAATTAATTTTTCTTTCAAGGTTTGGAAAAAAGTTACAGTAGGCTTTCTGTTGAATGTTAGCACTGATCAGGTTTTACATAACTGTGACGTTTATAACAGAAATTTTTAAAATAAATTTTTCTTAGTCCAGGTTACCTTTGCAAGTGCCACTTCTTTTCATCTAAGGAAACACTGTTCAGTACATAGGAATTTTTTCTGTATTGTGTGGACAAAACCGAATCCTTTTCAGAATTTCTAGTCTAGTATAGACAGAGACACCCTGGGCATTAATAGGTGGGTGGTACTGCATGACAGTGTAGAACACGTCACTGTAGGTTCAAATCCTATTAATATTATTGGAGTTTTTCTCTGAAGGAGGTCTGGTCAACTTAATTTGCTAAGTCAGGGTGATTTATAAAGATCTTACAAGATTATAGGTTTAAAGAGGGGTGAGTATGTGCACAAACTAAAAACTCTGTAAGAATATTCTTCCGTTCTTTACATTATCTTTTTTTAAAATACTGTGTTTGTAGAGAGAAACATCACGATTTTTCTTACACAAACAAAATCACATTTTCTGTTAAACGTACTGTGAAAAAAATGAGTTGCCCCATCTGTCTGTGTTAAGACTTACGCCATTTTGGTGCAGAATACATTTGTTGTAACAATTGTTACTGTCTACCTCTATTTTGTTAAAAGTACTGGTAAGTTGTTTGGTTTTTTTTTTCCTGAGCTTATGTAGTTAGAAACTTTGCACTAATTAGTCTACTGTTCTCAGTCATCTTACAGATCCTTCATTAAAGGCTTTCAGTAATTGGTGCTTTCATAACTTTTTTTTTTCCCTCTGGAAATCTTTGTATGTAAAGATCCTGACATTATCTTGATACTTGATCTTAAGTACTGTAGTGTAGCCAACATTGCCAGCAATAAATTTGGCAAGATGCTGTGTGAGAATTTGCAAAAAAAATGGATAATTCAGGTACATAAAATTCACTGTCTTGTAGATATGTTTATTAAAAGAAAATTGAGGGAGGGGAATATCAACAGCCATTTTATTACCTTCTGAGAACATGGTCAAGTCTAGGGGTAGGTGCTTTTTTCCAAAGATACTTCCTTTCAGTTTTCTTGACACAGCTTGGTTAGGCAAATTCAGCCTTATGATTTGTGACCATAAGAAAGGAAGGTGGAAGACGGACATTCCTTTTGTTTCTGCTTTTCTTGTCGCACACTTGGATTTCTGTCAGAGGAGAAGGTCTAACACCAGCTTCAGGAGTCTGAATGCATATGTGAAGTTCAATGTAGGACTTGAAAGTCGGGACGGTGGCAGTAATTGGCATCAGCACCTGCTGTCTCCCATTCTTTGCTCTGCAGTGAGAGTGAAGTTTCTGATGCTCAAATTTTTAAAGCTGTCTGCCTGGTGATGCTGAGTGCTGAGAGAGCACATGCCTGTTCTGAACTAGGAGGCTGGGGACAGTGCCTTGCAGATGTGAGCTGAGAAGCTGCAACGGGTTTAATTTCTGTTGTGAAGCTGAATAGCCATCGAAGTACAACTGTCCACAAAGAGTTGTGGCCTGGTAAAGGCTGGCGTCAGTTTGGAGTGGTTTTTAATGCAGATCTATTAAATTCCAGAGACAAAATGTTGTCTAGTCATGATGTTAATTGAAGCCATTTTAGTGGTTTATGTTACATGCTAATGTACACAGCAGTGTACAGTGCTCTAAAACATGCATAGAAGGAAATGTATTTAAGACAAGTCTAGATGTAAACAAACTTTAAGGTTTTTATTGGCATCTTTGGGTAGCTGAACTCTTGAGCAGGGGCAAAATACCCGTGAAGCTCCTGCTAAAACAGTCTCTGAATGAACGTGACGTTTAAATGCTTTACGCCTGTTTTAAAGAGTGTACTAGACCATTTATTGGCGTTACAGCATCACCCTTTTTTTCTGCAGTTGCGTACTTGTAATGAAACTGGTTGCACGCAACTGTATTTACTATTGTGCCATTTATAGCGGGCCTAGTAGCTCCAGGTGGGCAATTTTTTTCTCGTCAACGCCAGCAGGCCGTGTCGGCACGGAGGCGCCGCTCCCCGCGGCCGCCGCCCCGGCACCGGGCGGAGCAGGGGCCGCTTCAGCCCGCACCGCCGCCGGCTGCGCTGAGCAAGCGCAGTGCGGTGTGGGGCTTCTGCGCATGCGCGGGCGGGGCGGTGTGTCGCCATTTTGCGGGGAGGCGGTGCCGGGGGTTGTGATGGCGGCCCTCAAGGC